GGACACCGTCACCGTTAGGTGGTGCTGGGTTTTCAGCCTGGGCGTCCCCAGGTCAGTGACGGTGATGGTGATGTTGTACTCGGCTCTTGTCTCTCGGTCCAGAGCTGTGTTTGTCACGAGGGTGTAAAAATTCTCTATTGATGGTTTGAGGATGAAGGGGAGATTGTTCTCGATGGAACACATAATTCTCCCATTGTCTCCAGAGTCTAGATCAGAAACACTGAAAACAGCCACCACAGTCTCCGGCGAGTTCTCAGGGATAGGGCTGGTAATTGAAGACAAGGTCAGTTCTGGTGGATTGTCGTTCACATCAACCACCTGAACTATCACTGTGGTTTCTCCTGAAAGGCCTCCGCCATCCTTGGCTTCTATGTCCAGTTCATAAGTATTCATAACCTCGTAATTCAAATATTTGACTAGCTGGATATCACCAGTAATTGGATTTAGCTGAAAAGTTTTGCGAATTTCTTCAGAAGCGTGAAAAAATGCGTATGATACTGTCCCAAAATTTCCTGTATCTAAGTCAGAAGCTGAGACCGTGACAATAACAGAGTTAATGGGGCTGTTCTCTAGAATTTGAACCTCATAGAGTGACTGTGTAAATTCTGGGGCGTTGTCGTTTATGTCTAAGACCAGGATGTGGATCTGGGCGATCCCCGACCGGGGTGGAGAGCCGCCATCCAGCGCGGTGAGGGTCAAAATGATCTCTGGCTGCTCCTCACGGTCCAGTGCTTTGTCCAGCACTAGTTGTGGGTATTTTCTTCCGTCCCTACGACTGCGTGTGAGAACGTGGAAATGGGCATTAGGGGCGATCGTGTAGTTTTGGAGACTGTTTCTTCCCACATCCAAGTCCTCAGCATTTTCCAAAGGAATTATGGTTCCTGGTGGCGTGTTTTCTAAGAGTTTCAGCTGTATTTCATTTTCAAAGAATACAGGAGAATGGTCGTTTACATCTATGACCTGAAGCTCATTTGTAATAAACTGCAAAGGGGTTTGCAGTAATATCTGAAAATGCAGTATACAGGGCTCCGTGGGGCCGCATAGCTCTTCCCGGTCCAATTTCTCATGCAGGAGCAAATCGCCGGTCTGATGGTTGAGCTGAAAATGCTGTTTGTTCCCCTTAGACACAACTTGGGCCCCCCTCACAGCCAGTTCCCCTACCCCTAGCCCTAGATCCTTTGCTAGGTTGGCTATTAAATAGCCCCTCTCTGTTTCCTCAACCACAGAGTAGCGTCTTGACTCAGACGCAGCCAGAGACCCACCCAGAAAAACAAAGAGAAATAGGACTTGCCTTTGTCTAAGAAAGCGCTCCCCTCTGGCCTCCATTGTGCTTTCGGCCACGTTCCTCCCGGAAATACTGCCAAACTAAGCCTCCGGCAGTGCTAGCAAACACAGTCTTTTGCCTTCCAACCTTTGAGGAAGGTCTAGCGAATAATCCTTCCCAGGGCTCAGATTTGCTTGTTTGGAAAATCTGCCCAGGCTCACAATTCCTAGTTTACCGAACTGGATCCGTGCCTTACAGAGTGCGCACAATGCCGGTGGTTTAATTCACCTTCTTAGTCAACAGCGCCACCATGCGTTCGCTGGTAGCTTAAGAATCTTAGAGAAGGTGTTCTGTTGGGGCCGGGTGGGTGTTTTGATTTTTTAATGGCTTATTCCCCTTATCAAACCCATTTGACGCTACTGGAGGAGGTTCTTGTGTTAAATGAGTTAAACAAACACAACGTAGGGAAATGAAATGTGCTTTTAAAAAAACAACCACTGTCTTTGGTAAGAGTCCTCATTTACATGTTTTTGCTGATTTATATGATTTTGCTGGTAGAGCTACTCTTCCTGCCCATCTGCAATTATTACACATAAACTCTAAAGGATTTTGCTCTAAATGATGATATGCTTCATGGCCTACTTGCATTTTTCTCTTATTTTCCAGATTTTGCAAAATGTGCATGAATTGCATTTATAACCAGGAAAAAATGCTATGAGAAGGTGACCTCATACAAGGTGATGAAAAATTATAATAGGTCATGTCAGGGGGTATATTCAGAGGCCACAAATGCCCAATTCTTTTCAATCTTCACAATCATTCAAGGAACACAGAGATTACTCCTCTTCTTATTTCATAGTAATTTTACAATTACTGGTTTCATCTATATAATAACTGTAATAACTGTTTCATCTGTATAACTGTATTTTATCCATGGAAACACGTATTTGTTGAGTTTGTAGAAGTTAGGTATTATAGTGGTAACAAGACAAATCGTGTCTATATATCTTATACAGTTTACCACCTAATGGGATGAACAGACTTTAAATATATGTTCAAACAAACTGTGAAAAGTGCTATATAGGAAATGTACTGAGTGCACTGAAAGTATGCAATAGGAGGACCTGACTCAATGGGTGGCGGGTGAAAAAGTTTCATCAAAGTTGTGCCACTTAATCTGGAAGATGAAGGCTAAGATGTTTGTCTTACAGGCTAAGTCTTACAGACTAAGACTGTAAAATGGGAAGAATACATATGAGAAACTGATATGTAAAGGCCTGCAACAGTAAAGTATAGCTATTCTAGATAATAAAAGGACAGTGTACCCAAAACTTCGTGTCTCAAGAGTAAGTGGGAAGAGAAGGATGGAGAGATAAACTGTGGGCAAATAACAGATGCTTGGATTTTATTCTGAGAATAAAAGGAAGATATTGCAAGGTTTTAGGCAGAGAAATGAAACAATTCAAATATCAAGTGTTCAATCTAGCATCTTCACAATTACCAGGAATGTAACATGAAGGATCATTTATTAGGATTACTCTTAATATTAGTAATACTAAAAATAACAGCAATTATACTTCTATATCTTTATATTATCTCATTTGATTGTAATTTCAAGCTAGAGAAATAGCTGTTACTAGCATTTTGGGGGAATAGAAATGATGTGACTTATCCAAGATCCTATTAAGTATTAGCAGTGCTCTACACTGTGAATCTCAAAACGACACCTTTAAAATTCATATTATAATTTTAATAGTAAAGCTCATACAAATAAACATAAAATGACATAAGAACTTAAATATAGGCTGAAGAACACTAAGAACTAAAAATGTGTCTTAATGTATGGATCTGAAATTGAACTGCAAGAAATAAAGTTGGATGAATCATTTAGGGAATTATAGAAGGAAATTTAAATTATAAAATAAAAAATACAATTTCCCCATATATATTCCTTAAGCTAGAACGCAGGAGAGGAGACTCAAATTAATCAGGAGGAGAGAAAGGAAAAATATATTGAAGGAAAGAGACACCAGGGACTGATAACTGCATAATCTTTCAATAATAGTGATCAGTTGAATTAATAACCAAAAATTATATATGTAATTCCTTATACATTAGAGAGCATGTAATTCCAGCAAAATTTTGTTCTATGAGTATTTTAGTGTCTTTAAATATCAAAATATCACAGGGTGAAATAAAGACACTTCTTTCTTTCAATCATTTAGCCAAAACTTTTATTAACCTATAATCCTCCAATTACTGTGCTAAGCATACAATAAATGGGGAGCTATTGGGAAACATATTCCAGAACCTAAAAAGAAAAAAAGTTATGAAAAGCCTAGGAAACGGAAAAGGGAAAAATAGAAGTAGTGGAAAAAAAAAAATGGCCACACTAAGATAAATCTTTCCCCATAGGCTTATTTCCAAAATGGAATCATAAATGCTCCAAAAAAATTTTTTTTAAAGATTTTATTTATTTATTTGACAGAGAGAGAGATAGAGACAGCAGGAACACAAGCAGAGGGAGTGGGAGAGGGAGAAGCAGGCCTCCCGCTGAGCAGGGAGCCCGATGCAGGGCTCGATCCCAGGACCCTGGGATCATGACCTGAGCCGAAGGCAGATGCTTAACGACTGAGCCACCCAGGCGCCCCAATGGTCCAGAATTTTTGAAAAATGCAATGCCAAACTACATTTGAAGTTTCTAAAATTTGGTCAAGGACAAAGACTTAGATTTATTTCCTCATATCTTCTGGATTTTAAGGATGTTAATAGATGACTTGCAATTGCTAAAATGGGTAACTTTTGAAATGAGCAGAGGTTTAAAGAAAAAAATATTAATAGAAAGCATGAAGAATTACATGGCTTTGAAAACAACTGGACACATGCTATTTATTTAACTACATTTGAGAATATTAGTGGTTGACTGAGCACTTTTGATGTGAATGGTTTGTAGAATCCAGCAGTCAAGGTTGTCACAATCTCTAAGGAATCATAATCTTCATTATGGACACTTTAAGGAAGCACATATTTAGAAAAATGTGAGAGGTTGCTTTGTTATTAATGAATATGCATATATTAATGGTTTTAGTCAATATGAGTTAACAGAATAAAAGTTATACTAGTCTAAGAGAATATACAAACACAAATATTCTGGGAGAAAGAATAAGCTTATGTAGCGATTAAAACATTTTTAAAATGTTTTAAATTTTAAGTTCTGCAAAATTACCTACGAGCTGTGGAAGGTGAGTTTGGAAAAAGGTGCTCTAACTTAAAAATTAAAGACTTCTGAAAATACAAAATTTACTTTCACACTTTAAGTTGAATGAAGTTACAGTGAGACTAATCAACAAAAAGAAAGCAAAGGAAATTTGCATTCCTTATACCACAAATGAACACATTTAGAAACACCAGTAACATGCACTAAATTAGAATAGAACCCCAATAAGCAAGGCAGTAAAAAAGGACTTTCAACAAATTAACTGAGACTAGGCTCAGTAGACCCTTATTAATTAATACTTAATTGAATTCAAAGTTATCCCTGAAACTGGGGTTTGCTTCACTAATCCTCTCTTCACCCAGACCAAGGAAACTGGGGAGAACTGGCTTGAGGAACTTGAATTCATTGGTCCCAGATCCTCCCGTCAGACACACCTCGTACTGGTAGCTGTGCGACAGGGTCCCCGCGCCGCTGACGTCCACCAGGTGGCCCGCAAAGGGGCCCTCGGGCACCGAGCAGCCGCCCCCCGACGCCGCCCGGCTCCTCCTGCCCAGCCGCACCGCCACGAAGCCCAGCACCGACAACAGGAAGAGCGACGACACCGACGCCAAGGCCACCACCAGGT